AACCTTCTATTTAATCCATATGTTAAGTTAGGGCAAACATTGAAAAAGTAATGCCACACTAGCGCCGCCTGGTGAGTTAACTTTGATCTGAATTATTTACCATAGGATAGTTCTTGTCCATATGAACAACTTTGCTGAAGACGGGAACATTCTATCTTGTCTGAACGTTAAGTTAGGGCAAACAATTTAAAATGAATGTCACACTAGCGCTGCCTGGTGAGTGCATTTTGAACTAAACTTTTTACCTTAGGAGAGATCTTTTCCATCTGAATAACTTTACCCAGTACGGAAACTTTATATCTAGGCCGTGTGTTAAGCTAAGGTAAACAATTCATAATTGATTTCACACTAGCACTGCCTGGTGAGTGAATTCTGAACTAAACTCTAGTCCTAAAGATAGGTCTAGTCCATCCGAACAACTTTACCTAAGACGGAAACCTTATATCTAGTCCATATGTTGGCAATCCATGCCAATGAGTGTCACTCTAGCGGTGGCTAGTGAGTGAATTCTGAACTAAACTCTTTTCCTAAAGATAGGTCTTGTCCATCTGGACAACTTTGCTTAATAATGGAACCATCTGTATGTGCAGGATCTGTAGACAACGTTATATAATGTTTATTTACGATGGCGCAACTTGATCATTTTCATTTTAGCGCCATCTAGTGAGTGAATTCTGTCATACACTATAGTTTTATAGACCTTGTATTTTTGAGCATCTTTACAGAAAGAAGCAACATCCTATATGGTTGGGATCTCGTGATACAAACTTTTCTAATATCAAAATATGCCATTTCATGGAAGAAATCCATTGAAATTTCGTTAAGATACGGCAACTTGAATTTGGGGTCAAATTGATCCCAAGGTACGTAAGTATTTAAATAAATGTTTTCCAACAAATATTTTTTCCAGTTTTTTTTAAGTAAATTTTATCGAGTATTACAGAGCTCCGGTGGACGCGCCTAGTCGTGAAAGAATAAGAAAAATCAATTGACAAATAAAAAAGTTACAGCCTATCAAAGTGGCCTGGGGTCAAATTGCCCAAGGTACAGACAAAGGGTTAAATAAAAAAAAAATGCAACCATTGGCAGTAGCGAACATATCAAGACCAACAATTGAAAAGGCCTCAACTCCATTTTGTAAACCAACCTTGTAAGGCCATTTTGTCACGAACCATGCGACTAGCAATGGGCGATCTTGGATCGAATCACAAAAGATCGATTCTTTTGGTTTGCAATTTAATATTGGCCTGTACCTGGAGTATTCAGCTCACGCTCGGGTAGTTAAAATTGTGTCTGAGCAGATCTATAGTACCGAAAGAGTATACAATGATTGCACACATCTGTACCCCCACCAAAACCAACCGGAGGCCTGTGGGATATTCATGACGAAATGGTAAAGAAAGTTATTAATCTACATTCACTTATTATGACATATTTCAGGTTCATCAGTTCTCTGCTATGTCAGAACTGGATCGCCATGGGGGCATATGGGCAGAATTACAAACTTTATTGCATCAGCCTGTTTTACTACATTCTGTCGATCCTTCTCGAGCATGGGAGGAAATCCGTAGTGTATATCCCCATGCTCGAGACTATTTATCAAGAATGGTAATAAGTGTTCCGTTAGAGAGGCTATTCTTCAAAACTGGTGGAACCACACAGAATCGATATCGGCTCAATGCAAAACGCATGGCTCAATTAGTTTTCTTGGGATCCCTCTCGGATGAGTTTTGGGTTATCTGGATTAAGTACTTACCTGCTTTTACACTCCGACCATCTAAACGTTTTGTTTCATATGTTAATCTTTCGTTTTTAAATCGTTCATTTAATACAAATAAAATGAATTTTATAACCTGTTAAATCGCTTACCTAATCAAGAATCCTGAGCGAAAACTTGCACATGTCAAATGAAACCAAAATAGTTATTTACTATATTCTCACGTAGACCATCCGTTAAAGAGTTCGATCCGCGTTACACGGTAAAGACCGTAAAGCATGGAAGTGGTAGCATCATGGTTTGGGGCTTTTTTTCTTGGTATGGAGTAGGTCCCATTTTCCGTATTAATTCCATCATGACCAGTTTTGAATACGAAGAAATCATGGAGGAGGTTATGCTCCCTTATGCAGAAGAGAACATGCCTCTTATATGGCATTTTCAGCAAGACAACGTTCCGAAATCCAATTCTAAGTATGTAAAGGAATGGTTTCGAGCAAAAAAAGTGTCGGTTATGTCATGGCCTAGCCAATCTCCTGACATCAACCCCATCGAAAATTTATGGAAAGAGCTTAAAAGAAAGTTATCTGGTCAAGCATAAGGATCAACTATGGACCACAGTTCAAAAAGAGTGGTATGCTGTACCAAATGAAACTTGTCAGTGCTTGGTTGAGTCAATGCCAAGAAGATTGAACTAGGTTCAACTTAACAATGGAGGGCACAGCGATTACTAAGCGTCATTAGTCTAATAAAACTGATAGGATTATTTTCAAGCTTTCTATACAATAGTTTTATGCAACACACATATTTCACTGACCAGGCATATTTTAAATTTGATTCTAATGAGTGAGTCATTTAATGTTTTAACTTTGAGTTTTCTCGAGCAATTACTTAATGTTTACTATCAAATGCTAAACTTTCAAGTCGAATGAAATGAAGTTGAATGAGCATAACCTAAAATTTTATTTTACCTACACATATTTTAATGACCAGCAGTGATGTATGTTACACTCACACAATTTATTTCTAAAGGATATCAATCATCACACTAAATGACTATTATAGGTGAAATTTCATAACAAGATAGCTTATGTAACGTAATATCAACTCTAAACTGAACTTGGCTAAATTTGCACCAACTTTCCTATGATCCGTTATATTTCAAACATGTTTGAGCCATTTTGAAAAATGAATCGATTCAAAATTATTGATTAAATCGGTGAATCGATTATTTCAAAAAAAAAAATGAATCGATTCTTGCCTCAAGATCGCCCAATGCTAGATGCCACACGTGACGCGACTCACACAAGAAATAATAATAAATAATAAGTTTCTTTTGAATTGGCCGCGATTGTGTTTTAAAAGGGGAGTACACTTTGATTTTTCAAAAAAATGCATTTTTTTTGGCTTAAAATGTTCCTTGGGATGTATACTTTAATTTAGAAAAGACTCCAAGTTCGCCAGAATATTCCTTACCGCTTTACGAAGCGATTTCCTAAAACATGTACCGGCGCGCTAAGAGAGCATTTTTATCTCTAAACGCGTTTATCTCGAAACGGGGTTTTTCAAACTGGCGTGGGAAATAACTCTAACCAATTATCATAAAATTTGGATATCGCCTAGGTTTTCTTGTTCAGAATCAAATTCTGCTTAGAAATACGTATCCACATTTTCGATTTTATCAAAAATGGATTTTTAATCCACGATTTTGTAAGCATTTTTAAGGTGAAAAATGGACTTTTTTTTTCCTAAGGCCACAACTTTTGAAAAAATCAATTTAAAAAAAATCGGAATACGTATTTCTAACCCAAATTTCATTACTAATCAGGATTTTTGTTCGGAGTATTTTCCCACGCCGTTTTCCGACTTCCGCGCGAGGACGCCCGCGGGACCTGGTGCACCGGCCACGGGGAGACGCTAGTCGAGTTCAAAAAAATATAAATTGTAGTTCGAAGGATGACTAATAAATGGGTTATAACATATTTGCCCTCCCTGAGTGTTTTATTGCTTAAAAAAATTAACGAAAATGCCTTAATTTTTGGACGTTCAAAGTGTACTACCCCCTTAAGTTTGCGAATGTAGGTTTCGTTTCGCGTGAAAATAGCCTTACAAAGTTTGTTTACAAAATAGAGTTGAGGCCTTTTCAATTGTTGGTCTTGATATGAGTAATGTTTCATTCAAATCGGAAACGCTTATGTCCACCCGGTTTGCGTTTTGGGCAGGAAATGCTCTATAGCGACTTACAGTCTTAAACAAAAACGAGTATTTTTGCTGTTGTTATAATAATTAGAAACTTGGGCCGGGGGTTTCCGATTCAAGGCCGGATTTGGCCAGTATAGTCCTGTGCTCTGATTATTACTACCACTGAACTGGTTGTTGAATTCTCATGTCATTTGTTGTGTCATATGATGGATTTTATTCATTTCAGGCCGCATTTAGTTTCATGGCATTTACAAGCTATAACATGTTTTCGCCAAGCATTTCCGGAACCAGTTTTTTTTTACTCTTTGAGATTTTTAGCCGTAGGCTAGTTCATCTCGTAACCCGTCCGGAACCAGTTCACGATTCCAAAAATATTAAAAAAATTCAATGAGACCGTAGTACCACCCACTTCTTTGATGGTGGATGCGCCTCTGGTCGAGAACATTGTGTGTTGAAAAAAAGAATAACTAAAAGTTATGATCGAAAAACTAAATTGAGAAAGTTACCATAACTCTGAAAATATATAAATATGGCCATACGTCAGGTTGGTGCACAGGTAAAAAGTGAATTGGGACCATTGGTGCACTGGGTGCACTGTGACTATAAAATCAAGAGTGAATTTTCAAATAGCCATATCTGCTTTTGTAAACTTGTCAATCTATCGAAACTCTTAGCTCGTCCATGCAAACTAACATCACCATAATGTTGGGGAAACTTTACCCTACTTGTTGGTGGTGTTAGTTTTTGCGTGTGCGATCTATAGATTCTATAGGTTGACGTTTGAACTTTCGTTTACAAAAGCAGATACGTCCTTTTACCAATTGATCCTTGAAATTGTCCTGTTTCCAGTATCATCGATGCTGCACATCAAGAATGTATCCTATCATCGTGTAGCACACGCGACAGGATGTGCTGACTAATTGCAAATTAACGATCCTAATTAGCTTCGCTTTCGCTCGCGGAAAGAGTGGGATGCGCTATCATATGCTCTAGAATAGGCGTACCAACATCACCAACCGGAAGTGAACTCCAATATGGATGCACTAACAGTTTTTCATCTTCTTTTTTATCTCGTCTCCTTTAGGTCACCCAAAAATGCTAACAGCCACATTTGAGCTCGAGCAGGAGGATGTAAATCCAGATGATCATTTGGAGCCCAAATCAAACCCTTCATTATTGTTAGGAGATTTACAACCGGTGGCATCGGATCCCAACTGTCACGACCCAGAGCGACCACGCAGTGCGGACAACCGGAAGTCGCTATTTTCATTGCCCCTTAGTGGGTGGGGTTTCAATCGGCAGCAACAGCAGCAGCCACAACAACAGCAACAGCCGTCCCAGACAGGACAGCTTTCCTTGATTAGACTCAAGCGTCGCTATAGAGATAAGGAAAACAGCAGTGTTTGTCGGGAAGAGGCACGGGACAAAGCCAGTGCCGAACGTGAGGAACATTCCTCACCGCCGGTGAAAAAGCGAAGCCTTTTGGAAATAGTAGAGGAAGATATCCAGAGGCGATTGAAGAAAAGTATCAGTGACAAGACACGAAAGCGAAAGGTCAGCTGTCTGAGTTTGGTAGCTGCTGGTCAGCCCAAAGAAAAGAAGAAAAAGCAACCGCAGCAACAGAAACAGCAGGAGGAAATAGTTAAAGTTGCAGTTGAAGATCCGATTCAGTGTACTCCTCCGGTTTTCGAAGAAGAACCGGAAGAAGCGAAGCGGCAAGACTCTTTTAGTAGTCTTTCTGGAAAAAGTAGGCAATCGTCGCAGCAAATCGATTGGGAACAGGTAGAGGCCATCAGCGTCGAGGACTCTGAGGAGGAAGTAAAGGAACCGGAGAAGTCGGTTTTTGATTTCGATTCCCTGTTCGAGGACAAACAGGTCAAGCTTCCGCCGAAGACCTATTCTGGTTGTTCGAGCTCGAGGCTTACTCTTTCGAAGAATTTCCTACAGCAGCAGCAGCTGAATGGGCAACAACCATTTGTCGTAGTTGAGGGAGTATCAGCAAGAGATACACTCGTGGCTGGTGGTGAGGACGACATGTCCATTCACCATCAACAGCACTATAATTTACCGTCTTCGTATAACAGTGTCAGTAGCACTACTAGCACCAACTATAAACAGGAAGTTGCGCCGGCCTCCTCCATCCTACTGCTGGCAGCAGCTACTGGGGAGTCCCAAACAATGTCCAGTCATCCACACTACACCCGAAGCAAGATAAACTCAATGCAAGGTCGTTTTACGCTGGGCAACGCCACGGATATGGCCATAGCTGCGTCATTGAACGAAATTCCGCGAAGTAAAGTAAATAGTCTACAGGGTCGAGTCGATACGGGAACTGCAACGGAACTAGCGATTGCTCAATCGCTGAGTGAAGACCAGCAGAATATACTGAACTCCGTGGTACCAGTGATAGCACCGTTAACTCCGGCTAGTATTGCCGCCGCAGCTAATATGAACAACTCGTTGGCCACCCTGTGCAATATCGGTAATTCGTGTTACCTCAATTCGGTACTCTACACGTTACGGTTCGCTCCGAACTTTATTCACAATCTACACCATCTGATCGAAGATACGGACAGTGTCTACCAGAGACTTAACGAAAACAAGCTGAAATCCTCATCCCTTGGGCGAAATATTCCCGGATTGCACGGTCCCAGTGGCCGCAGTTGGAGCAGTAAGGATCTTGCCTCGCTCGGTGGATCCACAACGACTACAAACTCCTCATCTTCCACCGGTTCCGGATCTACTACGGCAGCAGTTAATGGAACCAGCGGTACTGGTAACGGTGGCGGCGGTGGTGGTGGTGGTGGGCTTCCGACCACCCGAGAAGAGAACCTTCCGCTTAAAACTAACCGACAGGTGGTGACGGAGCAATTGCATGAACTGTTTCAGAATCTGCATCGGAACGAAGCTATCGAGGCGATGGAACCGTTCCACGCGGGGAACATTCTGCGTGCCGTGCAAGACGTTAGTTCAACCTTCGAAGGCAATCAGCAGCAGGATGCCCATGAGTTCCTGATGTGCGTGCTAGACAGTGTTCGGGAGTCATGCCAGTCATTGATCAAGACCATCACTGACCACCCGGATGTGCTGATTAGTGCGTAAGTATCCCTCTCGTTGTCTTCGATTGCATTTTTTTTCCTTTCAGATGTCGACATGTAGTTTTTTATTCTCTTAGGGATGGGTATTGTTTTTGTTATGCATTCAAGTCTGTTTTTGACCTCATCACTCATCTGACCATGCGAGAATGTCGCAGAAAACCTTCCACGAAACAATCAAATGATCTTGAAGCATTATTGTTCAACTCAAGAGATTGTATGGGTCAACTCCGGGATAACCTTAATAACCTTGCGATATGTCTAGAGACTATGCGAATCGATTCCGGGTCGTCATGGGTCAACTACAGATAGCTTCAGGAGCTATATGGGTTATCTGTAATTTATGTATCAATTATGTTGGCCTTATGGGTTGATACCAAAGACCTTTTAAGTTAATTCCAGAATTGAGGCCTTATGTGGTAGTATTGTAAGGTTAATCTCCAAAAGCTTATGTGTTAATTTCACCATCCAGACTCCGAACTTCGGATAACTACACTACCCATAATCGCATTACAGTTCCATATGGATAGGAAATCAAACAACGATGGGACTGATATGCGATTATGGGCAGTACAGAGGATGTTTGAATTAGTTTTTGAGGCCTTATGAGATAACTTCGGTTCAACTCCAGATATCTTTAGAGACATCTCATAGAGGGCTGATAAATTGAGTCTATAAGCGGCCACAAATGGCCGCCTTCATGGCTGATTTTACAAGGCAAATCAGCCATGAGAACGGCCATTTGTGGATTATATCAACGTTGTCGTTAAAGGTATCATGGATCAACTTAATTCTTTATAAGGGGTCTAACCCTTTTGACATAACAGTCATTTGGCATAATGCCGCTAACTTCTCTCTCAAATAAAAAAAATATTTAAAATAAAATGTTATTTTAGTATTATACTACAATAACAATAAATTTGGCATCTAAGAAAAGATAAGATGTCATTTCCAGAAAAAAAAATCATTTCCTGTAAGGGAGCATCCATAAATGACGTAGCATATTTTTGATCAATTTTAGACCCCTCATCCCCCCTCGTAGCGTATTTTGCTATATCCAATACATGGCCGGTCACAAATTCTAAAACCCCCACCTCCCCCCTCAAATGCTACGTCATTTATGCATGTTCCCTAAAGTCGTTTGCCGGAAATCCATTCCCTCGGAGAGATACATTTACCGGAATTTATTTTCCCCGAATGAGCCATTCATCGGAGTTCCATTCATTATTTATAATTTTAATTAAAATATTCAAAATATTCACCGAGCAGTCCACTGACCGCTTAACAGCTTCAAGTACAATACCAAACAACTGTGATGCAGAATGGCATTATGTCAAACGGGCTAGACCCCTTTAATGACCTTCCTCCAACTGACGTTGACCAATATTATTTCTATATTGCAGCTGCCCGCCGGTACCGGAGTGTATCGAGCCATTCCCACCGGAACCGAAGAGCAGTGCGGCGCGGTTCTTCCGCCGCCGAAAGGAATCGGTTAAAACGGCTAAACCAGCAACTAACGGGGGAGGCGGTGGCAGCAGCGGGGCCACCACCCTCCCGAAAGCTGCCGTAAGTGGCGGTGGTGATGCATCCGATCCGCTGGCCAACCTAAAAAATGCCCTCTTTGCCAAAACGTCTTCCGCGCTGGACGAACAACTGGTGCGCGAGCGCCTGCAGGCCCTCGGGTTGGACTTCTTTCGGGACGACTTTGAGGGCGTCACCGTGGCCAAGACCAAGTGCTTGGCCTGCGAGACCTGCACCGAGCAGAAGGAAACCATGATCGACATAGCAATTCCGATCGCTTCCAGCGAGGTGTGCGATGCGGCCAAGAATCCACAGCAGTTCTACCAGGTATGATCGACGTTTTACTGTGCGGGAGGGTTTTGCACCAAATTCTGAATGTTATTCTTTTACCCCTTAGAACTCGTGCATAACTCGAGAGTACTTCCGCGGGGATAACAAGTACCGGTGCGAAGAGTGCTGCGGCTACCGGGAAGCGATCCGGTCGATCTCGTTTGAGGTGCTACCGCGGCAGTTGATCCTGCAGCTGAAGCGCTTCAACGGCGATATGGAGAAGATCAACAGCTACATTCCGACGCCGTTCGTTCTCCGGTGCTTCTGTAATACGTGTTTGCCAAAGCCGGACTGTGATAAGCCGCACATTTATCGGTTGTACAGTGTGATTACCCACGTGGGCGCGCGGATGTCGGTGGGACACTACATTGCCTATACCAGCTCGCTGGACGTGCACGCTGAGTATCTGGGCTGTGGGAAAGACCGTCGGAGGCAGTTGTTCTTATCCGGAGGGTCACTCGATGGCCTAGCCGGTAGTGCAAGTGCTGGCAGTGCGGGAAGTGGTTCAGCTAAAAGTAACAGTGAGAAGGGAACTTCGGGACATTTGAAGAAACTTTTCAGCGCCAAAAAGGCTTTTAGTGCGGGTGATATGAGTAAGAAAACAAAAAACATTGTAGTCAACAAAATGAACTTAATCAATGGTATGGAAGGGCTGAATCTGATCAACGGTTCCAGTACGGGAAGCAGCAATACGGTGAGTTGTTGTTTTTTTTTTCTATAAGTGGCTTGTAGGTTGAATAATGATTCTTTCAACAGGCCTCGTTTGGTTCGCACTCGGGAAGCAATAGTCCTAACAGCAATGGGACTCCAACCGGCGCTGGTGGTTCCCTGGCCAGCCGGATCCCGTGCGCTGGTCTAAATTGCTGTGGAATTCATCTTAAAAATAGTCATCTTAGTTTGTACGGTAGTGGTAGTTGTGATTCGTCGTCGTCTGCAGCGGACACCAATGGAATCCCACTGGGAACGGCGGATAGTAATAGCGGTAGCACCAATTCAGTCGAAAGTCGCATGAACTACATTAACTCGATGGCGAACGGTCTGACGGCGACGGCTGCAGGTTCCGGGGCGCCCACCAACTTGTCAGTGTTCGAGCAGAGTCTAAGTCAACAGCTGTGGCACATGTGCGATGACGATAAGATCAAAATCATGTCCCAGGTCGAGTTTGAGGAGTTGTTGTCGCCGAACCGAAGGCACGTGATAACGCCATATCTGCTGTTCTACGCACGGTACGATCTGGTACCGGCCAGCGGCAGTCGGCAAAAAGATGCGGAGGCGGGCCTCTTGAAGGCTGGTAGCAACGATGGCGGTGGAGTGGATTGTGGTTTGATGATCGATTAATAACGGTCGCCGTTACGGACGGTAGGTGGTCTTTAGTTGTCCTTGTGTTGGGAGTGATGTAGGTACTAGGTATGTTTCGTTTGTATCTTCAAATGAAATTTATAGCCGGCAGTGTTTTGTAGAACAGGAAACGTTCCGAGGTCGGTTTTCGTCGTTTTTGTCTATTGAATATCAATAATGTTCATTTGTAAGCAAATTAGTCGGCATTGTCAGATAAAATTATCGATATCATTTGAGAGTGGGTGTGTTTAATGATACGGAAGTAGCAATATGTGCATGGTTCATGACGTGGATTGTGATGTCTGTGTTTGGAAAACACAAAAATCGACCACCCGTATCATACCATTTGGCTAGGTATGGAGTTGGTCCCTCCAATGCACGCTTATTTTCAAGTACTCCAAATAAATTGTCTATGTTAATTATATATGAACTAACTAATTCAATGCGGTCAAATGTCCCGGATCCAGCAGGGTTGCTTTTGCATTAAAACTTATCGCGTTAATTCGTGTATTATCGGAAACTACAAATACCCAAGAAAAAGGTTGGCATAATGGTCGTTTGGTCTAATGATCATTCTACCTCTTTGTAGACATGAGCTGTTCTCCAAGATTGGAATCTCTTATCATTTAATACTCTAGATTCTAGATAATTTCTTTTTTGTTGTTACCAGGGCATCAACAATGTCTTTATCATGTCAAAATGACACACGAGCCAAATAATAATGGGTGGTCAGTAACGGCAAGCAACATAGACTGAAAGTTTGTTTGCAACAAACGCGGTTGATGACATAGCTTGATCAGAATAGGGAAATGGCATAACACAAATGTCCCCATTGATTTACAAGGTGGTAAGGCAACCGGATGCAAGATGTTCTACGGAGACCTCTTCTGAGACACCACACCAGATATAGCTGATGAAATCTTCACTGAGGCCAGAGTAGAAAATGCGGTGAGATCTTTTCAGCCCTTTAAATCTGCGGGTGGAATATTCCCGGCGCTACTTCAAAAAGGTGAAGCAGTGCTGAGTCCATCTCTAACTAATATTTTTAGATTGGTAAAAGTTATATTCATACCAAAAATGGGAAGCGCTACAAAACGCATCCAAAATCATTCAGGCCCATCAGTCTTTCATCAATTTTGTTAAAGACTATGGAAAAGGTGTTGAATGATTTCATCAATTCAACTTACATGTTCACGCATCCATTATCTAATTTTCAGTTTGCGTATCAATCCGGAAAGTCAACAGTTACTGCTCTCCAGACCTTAGTAACAAAAATTGAAAAATCTCGTTCAGTCAAAGAAAATCAGCAGGATGGGAGAAGGGACGCAAAAGAAACATCGACAACTATCGCGGCATCACATCGTTGTGTGCCATATCTAAACTGTTCGAGTTGGTCGTTATGGAACCTCACTTCAAGCAGCACTTGAGCGAAGACCAGTTTCATAGCAGGGCGGTCGACTACTTCCAACCTTCTGTGTCTCACCTCGTACATTACGGAGAGTATGACAGACCATATGCAAACAGATGTCATCTACACTGACCTATCAGTCGCCTTCGACAAGTTGAACCATCCTATAGCGATCGCCAAACTGGATAGGCTCGGTATAAATGGCAGTCTCCTACAATGGTTCGCATTCTATCTATCTGATCGTCAGTTGGACGTTGCAATCGACGACTGCCGATCTCCTTCGTTCCCTGCCACTTCGGGTATTCCGCAAGGTAGTCACCTCGGCCCGTTGATATTTCTTGTGTATTTCAACGACGTCAATTTCGTCCTCGACGGTCAACGACTGTCGTTCGCAGACGACATGAAAATCTATATCCGAATCCGAGCCATCACTGACTGCCACCTCCTCCAACTCCAACTCAACGCTTTTGCTAATTGGTGCCAACTGAACCGCATGGTTGTAAATCCAACAAACTGTTCAGTAATCACGTTCTCACGGAAGAAACATCCACTTAAATTCAGTGATATCCTAGAAGGCGTTGACGTACATCGTGTGAATCACATTAAGCATCTGGGATTCATCTTAGATTGTCAACTCACATACAGCCAGCATGTGTCGTATGTGATCGACAAGGCTCCCAGAACGCTCGGCTTCATTTTTAGGATAGCTTAAAGTTTCACGGACATCTACTGTTTGAAGTCGCTTTACTGCTCCCTCGTCCGGTCGGTGTTAGAATACTGCTGCCCTGTATGGAATCCCAATTATCAAAACAGTGTACAAAGAGCAGAGTCTATTCAACGACGATTCATCTGGTTTGCCCTTCAACGATTGCCTTGGAGGGATCCTCATCGCCTACCAAGCTACGAAAGTCGGTGCCAGTTAATTCACCTGGATCCTTTGTGGAGTCGAAGAGATATGACAAGGGTCCTGTTTGTGGCAGACATGCTACAGGGCAGAATCCTTCAATGTCCTTCTATTCTATAACAAATCGACGTTAACGTTCAACCACGAGCACTGCATAACAATTAGAAATTAAGTTGGACTTCACGGCCTTTGCATTTTGTTACTTCTTGACTATATTGTATTTCCTAGTATTGCTTAATCCATCATTAGGACTAAACCCAGTCTGTTGATGTAGAACCAAATAAACAAATTACTGATTGGTCAGTGCTTCTGTTCGACCGTCGAACGATGCCTGTGTCAGAGTTCCAGTGAATGCTTCACCGGACGACGACCATGACTCCAACAGACTTCTTCTGCCAGATTACAAACCTTGCAGTTCTAGCGCGCTCCTGTCGCTAGACTGTACGGATTCCCCGTGACGAGCTCGTCCCCCACTTCTCGTGGGCTTCAGTGGACAGATTCCGCTGACCTGTAGTCTGTGTTCGGCTTCGAGTTCCTTTCGGTGGCTGAATTGGCATCTGGATGTTTTCGACGATCATCAACTATAGAAAGCGCTTTCGCTCAACTGAGTAGTTTTCAGACTAGCTGAACCTCCAACGTTGAGGTGCTAGCTAAACTAGGACTTCACGGCCATGAAGTTGTCTCCCGTGACGGGTAGACGCTGAACCATTTCTGTGAGTGCTCAGAAATGGTGTGTTTGCTGTACTAGCAAGCGTACAGGGCAGCACAACTGCTGTGCACTGCAGTGTGCTGCTTTCCACTCATGCCGAGTGGATCGGTGGTGGTTACATCGTGCCTTTGCTCATGCCTCAGAGACACTGCAAGGATACTGATTGCGATAAATCAATATGCGGGAATATCGCAAAATGGACAAAAATTTTGCCCTTCAGAGTCATAAAATCTCGTGTTTTATTTGAAAAGTTCATCATTGGACATTTTGGACTTAGACCTCTCTAGAGGCGCCACCTCTAAATGTCAACGAAAGATGCTCAGTTTTTGATATGTTGCTTAATTAGTTCCAATAATCATTTTCCACATGAAAACGTCCCCGACCGATTTTGACAAATAACTTCTTCTTCTTGTTCGCATTTCAAGCTTATTGCTTAGCGCATATTAGCTTATTGCTTGCTCTCAACTTAGTTTTCTAAACGCACTTCCACAGTTATTAATTGAGAGCTTTCGATGCCAATACGTGTGGCAAGCACAATGATGCTCTATGCCCAGAGAAGTCGAGAAAATTTCCAACCCGAAAGATTTCCTCGACCGGATCGGTATTCGAACCCGCCGCCACTGGCTTGGTAATACTGTGCCTTTACTGACTAGGCTATAAGGTCCCTGACAAGTAAGCATGCTATCAATAGACATTTGAGCGATTTTTATGAGTTTTATACCCCGTACAGACTATGGCTTATATCATGTAATATAGGCTGTCTTGCAATGACCACTCATGCATCTAGTTTTCACTGGAAATCCTATGTATGAGTGCTCATTGCAAGATAAGTGACGAACTGCAAAAAGCGCACTAGATCTAATCCACTACACACATTATCAATCGCGAGGCACAATTTCTGCTGTCGTCTTCTAAAGGGTGTCCCACATCAAATTGTATCAATTGGGATGCTTCCGTAGTGCTTGCTTCATAATAGCCCAGTATATTTCGATGGGCCTTAGTTCCGGTGCTTTGGTGGGGGGGGGGTTATGCCCTTGGGTACGAAAGTGACCCCGTTGGTTTCGTATCACTCCAGGACAACATTTGAATAGTGGAACGAAGCTAGAACCGTCCAGAAGATCGTAGGACCCTCGTGTTGCTTCAACAGAGGAAGAAGACGCTTCTGTAGACAGACAGATCTCCCCGTTTACAGTCCCGGTAGTCACGAACGGCGCACTCCGTTTGCCACATGAGCAGATCGCTTGCCAAATCATGTATTTTTTGGCAAACTTTGAAAGTTTCTGCTTCCTTACTTCCTCCGGAACATCAAACTTGTGCTGGGCGGTGAAGAACAGTAGCCCCGGAAGCTGCCGGAAGTTCGCCTTGACGTAAGTCTCAACATCCATGATGAGACAATGAGGCTTCGTCAGCATCTGGGTGTACAGTTTTCGGGTCCGTGACTTTCCCACCGTATTTTGTCGTTCGTCACGGTTTGGACCCTTCTGCACTTTGTACGTATGCGGGACTGCATACGTACAAAGTGCAGAAGGCTCCAAATCGTGACGAACGGCAAAATACAGTGGGAAGGTCACGGACCCGAAAACTGTACACCCAGATGCTGACGAAGCCTCATTGTCTCATGATGGATGTTGAGACTTACGTCAAGGTGGACTTCCGGCAGCTTCCGGGGCTACTGTTCTTCACCGCCAACAAGTGATGTGGCCAAAGGAGGGACTTCCCGGTCCTTGGCTCTCTGAACGAAAGACTTGGACAGATTCAACTTTTTGGCCACATCCCTGACCGAAGCATTGGGATTCCGCTTAAACGCTTTCACGACACGCTTGTGATCCTGATCACTAATAGAACATCAATTCTGACCGCACTTCTCCTTCCGTTCGATGCTCAGAGTTTTGAAGTAACGTTTTAATTACACGACTAACCGTTGACTGCACGATTTCGCGTTCAGGTGCTTGCGCAAAATCAATTAGCAACGTTGCTTTTCGGGTGACGCCATTTTTTCCAGCTTTCAAAAAACTGACAGCGATAAAAATACAGTGTAAACAATACACTCTAAACTACTTCTACCCAAAATTTTCAAGAGAAAATACCCAATGGGTAATTTTCTACAGCGTTTTTTTCCGTGATGTAATTTGATGTGGGACACCCTTTGAGTTATCGTTTTTCTAAATCTGAAATCTCATTTTTGCACATTTGGCTTAGTATCAATTCTCTCTTCACCATTTTAATCTAGCCCGAGGTTTTGTAAAGGGAATATGCTAGAATATTTTCTGAAAAGAAATATTTATTTTGCAGGCATTTACCAATAATTTATGTTTACCGAAACGGTGAACTGAAGCATAATGGTGCATTTTTGAAGTTATAGGGCCCTATTATGTAAGTCGAGTCGAACGTCATATCTGGTCATTGGTCTATTTAGTATTACAGAAGTAATACCAAATTAGACCAGTGACCAGAAGTGACGCTCGACTCGACTTACATAAGAAGCCCCATAATAGTTATAGGAGTTGTTTTTATTTATTTTAGCAGTAAATAATCTCCAAATGTTTTCCAACGATTTTCGATCTGACATTGCCGTGCATTATTTTCCTTACGATGATCATAACCGAACACTGATTCAATTCAAACAATAAAAATTTGTAAGGTTGATGAATGCCAAAAAAACAGTAACAAGTAGTAGACGAGCAACAATATAATGATCATCATTAAAATGACCGAAACCAACAGATACACAATACCAATTAAACAGATGAAATGCAAAACTAGCCGACCTGTACAATCCTGCTAAATACAAACGAAAATGGGCTTAAACAGTAGTAGAACCTATTAAAATAAAAACGGGAAACGGAACAAATTGAAAATGATATTTATGCTTACAGAAAGCGCAAACTTCAGCTACTAATAGGTGAAACAACATAACCTCAAAATCCAAACTCACATACACACACAAAAACAATGAGCTTCTTGCAAAGAAAATAGTGATCTTTTTCTGCAAATTCATCACCAAATTAAAAAAAAAAACACCAACGAAAACTAATTTCTACCCCGTTTTCTGTCGCTGTTAATATGTTGGGAAAAACAATTCCTAATTGGAACCGGAAACAATCGCTTCCCTTGTTTATCCTGTAACTTAAACCTTAAGCCTCACGCAGATTGAATCCGTTCGTGATACGTTGCAGATAAACTGACAGTTAGACAATAGAAAAGAGCGCGACTTTTTAACCTCACTTTTTTCCATACGAATTTGATCGGTGGTTTGTTTACACTTTGAGAAAAAGTAAGGTCAAATTATTTCGTTGCAAATTTGCCGCGACGCATCACTAACGGATGCAATGTGCACGGGCCTTTACTTCCTCTGAGTTTCTGTACTTCAGAATGTCGACATAAGAGTAAAGTGTAATCTTGATTTTAAAATTATTTCTATCGAAAAAGGCATTCGACCAGTATCTGTGATCATTGTTCCCTGCTTGTATTATTATTAATATATTGTTTACACGCTATAACGCGAGTTGAAATGTTTCAAGTATTAACCCTAAAATTCAATCGAAGGCGTAACTACATACAAATAATAGCTGATGTGCTGGCATTATTAACAAACAGAAATCCTTGAATCTTCCAAACCACCACAGCTGCGCCGCCCACTGCCGGCGTTGATCACAATATTTCAAACACGCTAAAACTACATTTACACACAACACACACACACTTGAAACACTCATTTACACACCTATTAGAAAGTGCAGAGAAATCATTTAACTACCAACGCAGCCACGGAAAAATGGGAAAACGTTTTTCCTCACGTGTAGCACCTTCGTTTGAAATGTAAGTACATACGAACCAGAAGCTGTGTAAATAGAAGCTTTTACGTCTCGGTTTTTCCTTTTCGTCGAAAATTTTTATTATCTAATTGTATTATCTTAGAATAGAATGTTTAAAACAATGGGGAAAAGGAGACCGAAAACATTTAATAAGTTACGTGAAGTAGTTCAGATGAACATCCGAGGAGGACCGATATTAACAGACACTCACGCTTACCCCCCCATTACACATAAACAAATGGAAGGGAATAATGGCGGAGTGTGCATGAACACGGATACAAGTGTTTTAAAACCCAGTTTTTTTTTCTTTCCTCGAACTAACCAATCCTAGTGTTTTAGACAACGGTCGAACAATTAAGTGTAAGCAAAAAGAGTCAACGCAGAAAGATATAAGCACTGTTGTACATAGTTAAGGATTAGAGAGGTATTTATCGAAAAGTTACTGCTGTGTGAGAAGATATTCTTAAAGGACGGAGCTGTAAGAAGAGGTATTTTTCAGGTGACTGACAGTTTTTTTTTTTAGTTGTTCCCAAATACAAAACAAGCATCCAAACACAAAAGCAGAGAGAGTAGACATTCAGCAGCTGTTAGAGTAATGTAATACAAATAAACACACATAAGCCGCGCATACAGAACAGAAGTATTCCGGAAAGGACGCGATCAAATTCATTCCCCTCATTACAAATAGCAAACAAAAAATAGACGACACATAGCAAATATGAAAGTTTGGTGAGATTTGGACGTTGGATTCAGAAAAATGGTAAAAGGTTAGCAAAGATGGCTCAGTGAGCCATCTCGGGAGATGGAAATGCGGCAAGCTACAGAGAGGATAATTATGATTATAGTATCATATATAATGAAATCAATAAAACTGACATACTGGAAACAGTTATTGAATAACATGAAAGCAACAGATCGTCTGTGGGATTGTGAACTTTATGCCGAAAGGGTCCATTCCAGGGAGCGGGTTGTTAACTTAAAGTAGGGTAATAGGGAGCCTATGGATCTAATATTGAGTCTGTTTTGTTGTGTTAGACTATCGTCGGAACTGAGTTCAATTTTGCCTGGCTCGAGCAGCTGAAAGAAAAGTTCAATGCCCAGTAAAACTTTTACCTCACCCGGGCGATGGAAGAGTGGATCGGCCAGATGTATTGATCCTGGATTTCGGCACACTTGTCAGCGTGGGCTGGTGTAGAAGAAATGCCTTCGTGGTCCATGTCGACTGCTAGTGTTTTGAGGCCGAGCTGGTTGCAAAAACTATCGCTGATAAAGCTGACTTGGTAGGCACAATCCAAGACGGCACGGCAGGCGTGTGGGCGTCCATGGCTATCCAAGACATTGATGGATACGATGGCAAAGAGGACACTAGACGCATCGTGGCATGTTCGTGAGCCGAGGTCTGAAATCAAGGACTGGGCTGGTGGTCCAGAATTTGCCTGGGCCATGACTGACGATGATGTTGCTGGTTGTGAGGTTTGCTG